TTCCAATGTTTGAACTATTTTTGCATAGACTAAAGTACAAAGCAGTGAAAATCATTAATAGGCGATTGTTCGATGGGCTCAATTGCACAATACGCATGATCGCACCGGCCAGTCTGGTGCGCGTTGCTATTTATGTTTCCTAGAACACTGCAGGCACAACATTTCTCTTCGCAGAAACTGTTGACAAGGGCGCCTTAGCAATTTCGAGATATTCTAGGCGTGTATATGTGTTGGACATCCCTATTTCGTCCCAAACCACGATAGGACCCGAAATATTTCATCATCCAAAAATTGCATTAGAATGAAGATAAATGAAGTAAAAACAATGTTTTTTTTTTTAGAATATTTGTTCCGAAAACAGAACAAATGTGAAAGGTTTGCATGCAAAAAAGTGAAATCACAAAAGAAGAAATGACTAATTTATAGCGCTTCCGCAACAAAGATTTTTTTTTTGACCAAAAATCGTTTCATCGTAGCACTCGCCGTAATGTCGTTGAAAATTAAATTTTCAAAATACGGTTAAAAAATAGGACATTTATAGATTACATTTCTTTTCTGCTGTTAAATTTCCAAATTTTTATTTCCAAATTTTCTTTAAAAATCTCCGAATTTTTCTTTTTTTAGTGTTAAATTTTGATTAAAAAAAAGAGGAATGAAACCATACATCGGTGCATTCATCGCATAATCATGGAAAATAAAGCTCATGAGAAAAAGTATGAAAGACATTGCATAAATTGTATCCGTACTTATCGTATCCGTCAACGTTCTGAAAGATCTCGCTTACAAAAAATCCTTGGAAGAAACAATTCTTTTTGACAGCAGATAGCTGCTATTAGTACCAGTCATCATTCGAGCAACTTCCAAGTGCCTTCGCCTCATAAAAAAAATAAATACAAGGCTTTTTAGGCCTTTTTTGATGACTCAACTTTAAATTTACTTTTCGCTTTCTCCAGAACTCATTTTCGCAATTCTAACCTAAAATTTTAAGCATTACTCAAATTAATGAACTGGCTGTGTTATCTCCCAGGATCATCAGCATGAGCATTTTTCAATGCAATCACAAAATAAATGGCTAGCGCACCGACTGCCGGTGCAGAGATGCGTTTTTTGCGTAGTTCCCCGCAAATTTTGGTAACTAACGGCACTGTTTTTTCCGGCAGATGCTTCAAACTAAAAGAATTGAGACTGGGAGCCAGGACTGTCACGAAGCATCCCTCTAAAACTTCAGTTTTCTAGCTTTCCTTGTTCCTGAGTTAGTAAATTACCCACAAAAAAATTTCAAGGGCTCGTACATAAGAACCACGCGCACCCGGGGAGCTGGGTTTGAAATCATGAATACCCACGTGGACGGGGGATTTCCCTTTAAAATTCCAGTCTTCTAGCTTTTCAGGTTCCCAAGTTGGCAGCTTGCCTGTTAAGAGCTTTGGTGGGCCCTTACGTTGGTAGCACGTGGGTAAAAGTGCCGTTGTGGACAATTCAGCCCATACGTGCATGTGAATGAAGTTCCCAAAGTTTCGACCCTGTAACTTTTATAGATCTCGGAATAAAAAATCGGTAGACGCACACGCGCACACACACACGCACACATACACACACACAAACACAAACACAAACACACACAGACAACCCCCCATCAGTATGCGTTTTCTGCATTGCATAGATGCAAAAAAAAAAGCATAACTGACAACTGTAGTGATGGTGGTACAGAACTACGATACGATAAACTGAGAACTGATCGAAGTTCAAAACAACTGGTATCTTTCTGGCTGTGAATAAGTGTAAACAAACCTGATGATCGGTGTCAAACCATAACCGAAACAGGAAAGAGTGATGAAGGTGCAGAGGTGATCAAGCAGTACAGTGAGAGTCGGTCTAATCATACACATAAATGCAATGTAAAGAAGAAATGCGATTGCGAAAATCAGTGCAAAATGCTGAACGGTGCTTATCGCAGATTCATTGGTGAGCGAATGAAATACCAAATAGTAGAAGATGATAGCGTTTGCGTGAAGCATAACACGACTGGCGCCACATACCGCTTCCCAGAATGTATACTCAACCACAGTTACTGAAAAAAACGAAAATAAAATTTGATGAAAAAAATTTCTTACCATTACAATAATTTTTATGCGTTTTTTGCAGCTACGTCTGTCACGGTTTTTCATCTCAAAGCCTACAAAAGCTGTAGGGCTGAAACTTTAGGAACTTAATCTACATGCACGTGCGGGCTCCATTCCCCAAAATGGGCGCTCTTACCCGCGTG